AGTTCAATCCCAGCAGCAGCACCATTGGGGCACAGGCAAGTTTTGGCTTGGAGCAGAAACAAGCAGATGCAACCAAGGAAAGGAGGGTGTGGAAAACAGGGAGGTAGAAAAAGGGCTCCTTAAGCTTGTCCCATAGCAAATCTACAGACACATCAAGAAGCTCCTGTCACAGGTCAAAAACCCCGTTTTAGGTGCTGAACAAGCCCGAAGTGAAATTAGCTGTTAATCAAAAAAGCAAATACGTAGAATGTGCATGAAAAGTAAACCACCAGGTGTGTATAGAAAAACTAATGGAAGTTTTAGGTCTTTTTAAAATTGAAATTTTTTTTAGAGAATGTAAGCTTTATGCTGTGCAAGTTAAGAATTAATTCTGAATCAGTCCTTTAAAAGACAGAGAGATGAAGAAGGAAGTACAATAAAAATCAAAGGACGTGGTGAAGGTCAAAGGTGAGAAAAACTGCAGAAGTAATGAACTTCTTGCATGCAAGGCTAACCACAGAGTACAAGATCAGACTGGTTCAACTAAACACAGCATCAACAAAATCAGGCTTTGGGTACACAGATATTTCTCTGTCCAGATACATCTATTTTCTGTGTTCATCGTTATATTAGAGTTTAAAATACCAGCCTTGTCCCATGACAAATAGAACTTTGGAGCTGATCTTGCCCATGTTTAGGTTTTGTTCTATAGGTGCTTCTCCCTCATGTAAAATCTAAAGCTTATCCAGCGACTGGGCAGTGGGGACTGTCCTTTGACACAGGTGCTTCTTAGACCTTACACATTTTCAGTACTAAGATTATTTAGTTATGACTTAAAAATTAGCTGGTTTTCTTTAAAGTAATACTTGTGGTGCCTTTTTTTTTTCTTTTAATTATAGCTTGTGGCCTTTATTCCATGGTTAGCATTTTCCATAAAACCCTTTTAAAATTGCTTTGGAGGTCACTGCAGAAGATTCTTCAAACTCCATTGATCTCTTACCAGATTTGGGTGGGGGAAAAGGAAAGACCAGTATTATTAGTGTTTGTGCAACAAGCCCATACCTTGACTCTACAAAACCAAGCATTTACAAATGTATGTGTCATATACCTAGAAAGTACTGTTTTTCTTAACCAAACTAGCCCTGTCTTCCGAAGCTCATACTGGGGCAAGAGTGACCATGACAGGCTATTTTCTTGTAAGGTTTCATATACTTCAGAGGAGTTTTCTGGGGTAAGAAACTTAACTCAGTTGATTTGGTTCCTCTTGAATTTGTGACCGCAAAAGTTATCAGAAGAAAACCCAACAAATTAAAATTTGATTTTTTTAAGAGCCGTCAGCCTGATGTTGTGAAGACAAGAATTAGCTAAAATACTTAACAATGCTCTTGAAAATTGGCCATGAAGTTCCCGAGTCTCAACTGGCCAGCAGCTGCTGTCTTTTTAGCAAAAGTCAGTTATTCCTCTTGTCCTGGACTTCATAACAAAAAAATATGAAAATCCACAATATAAGCAAAACATCCAATAGCTTCATTTCACAGGAGGTTACTGGCAGCAGCTTTAAATTTCAAGGAAAAAAGGGGCATAACAGTATTCATGTTAAACACCAACTATGACCTCTAGGAATGCAATGCAGGGACAGAATTCTGAAACCAAGAGATGATATCCAAAACCAGATTGGGGGTTTTTTGTTTGATTTGGGTTTTTTTAAATTTATATTGACAATTTCTCCCTTCTAATTTAACAGTAATCATCATAAAGCATAAAAAGCAGTTGCACCAGTGAAGAGCACTGTGTTGCCAGGTACCACACATCAAAACAAATTGCTTTCTCCCAGGTGCTTCACTCTGGGAGCACCAACTTTCTGAATAAACTTCAGTCAGAGGTTTGCCCAGACACTGGGCAACTCATGACCATCCCTCCCCACTGCTTCAAGTAAATTCCCAGCATCTGACACTGAGGGCAAGACTGGGAGAATCACTTGAAAACATTTGCAGTTAGTCCAAGCAGACACTGGTTTGGTAGAAGTTTTCAGCCATTTTCTCTGCCTTTCAGTTTACAGGCAGTCACTGCAACCAAAACCAATCCATCAGTCATCAAACAAAAAATTCTTGTAAGCTTTCCAACCCCAGTGTCTGCCTGACCTGGGACAGGGATGTCTGTGCAGGGTGATGGTTTTGAAATCTGGAGCCCTGCTGAAGGGATATGATGGCTGAGAGCTAGAACAACACCATTCCCCGCACAGGAATCAGTTGCTGCAACTGATAGACATCAGTGTGAACACCCATGAAATGCTCACCCTGTCACCGTCAGGTCATTAGAGATTTGCCCTCTGCAGTGCATGGAGAGCAAGGCACAGAGGGATGTGAGTGCAACCACATTGTGGTGCTTTTAAATTCAGCACTGCCCCCTCCTAGGTCAGAACCTGCTTTATGAGCACCTCAGCCCACGGCACAGTGACATCAGTGTCCCAAGAGCCAGTGTAAACTGAGACTGGCATCTCAGCTGGGTGTGCCCTGCAGTTCTGTGGCGTTTTTTCAGGTATCTCAGTCCAGAGGTAGATTTTGAAAACAGCACTGATTTGTGAAGAGACTCTCAGCCATGAATTTGTAACCAACAGCTGGTTCAGGTTAACCAGCTGAAACACAATTTTGCAGCAAGAGTCTAGTCTAAGAAAATAGAAAAACACCACACTGTTCATGAAAAAGGCAGATCCCTAATTTAACTTGTTTTCTAATCACAAGATTCAAAACAAAGAAAAAAAAATGCAATTGTGAGTTTTGTTCAGTTCTGGGCCACTCAGTTTAGGAGGGATATTAAGGTGCTGGACAGTGTCCAAAGAAGGGCAATGAGGCTGGGGAAGGGTCTGGAGCACAAGTCCTGTGAGGAGCAACTGAGGGAGCTGGGGATGTTTAGCCTGGAGAAGAGGAGGCTCAGGGGAGACTTTATGGCTCTCTACAACTACCTGAAAGGAGGTTGTAGCCAGGTGGGGGTTGGGCTCTTCTCACAGGCAACCAGCGACAGGACAAGAGGATGACACAGTCTTAAACCATGCCAGGGGAAGTTTAAGATTGACATTAGGAAGAATTTCTTCACAGAAGGAGTGATTGGGCATTGGAATGGGCTTCCCAGGGAAGTGGTGGAGTCATTATCCCTGGAGGTGTCTAAGGAAAAACTGGACATGTCACTCAGTGCCATGGTCTGGTTGACACAGTGGTGTTTGGTCAAAGGTTGGACTCAACGATCTCAGAGGTCTTTTCCAACCTGATTGATTCTGTGATTCTCATTCAGATGTGCATTGTGCAGATAAAGCAGAAGCATCTTTGAAGCAGTAATTGACTTGAAAACCACTCAACAATTGCACAGTAAGGCGATCTTCAGCTTTAATGTACTTCAGCACAGAAAATAAAAATGTGGGTTATGAAAACAATTCAATCATGAGGCATCCGTACTTATAGGAAGTGAAATACAACCATTTGTGTCCTACCATCTGTGCCAAGCCTATTGATAAACCTCCCCTGACAGGATGAAATACCACTCCTGCAAAGGCATCCTTAACCTAATATGCCTCTACAGCATTGGGATGGACTGGGTTTGAAAAACAGCCTCTTATAATACACAGATGAATTTAGCACTTAAGAAGATTAATGGATTCATAAATAGCCTGGAAATCCAAACTCATTGAATTTAGTTCATGGAACAGGTCAAATAGGCATTTATCAAACCATCTGGCTTTTTTTTTTTCCCCTTGGGAAACTGTAGTTGAGCTACAGAAGGAGCCACTGCAACAGGGAAGGTTTGGTTTTCCCTGTACTCAGGTTTCCTCTGGAAATCTCCAGTGCTAGTTAGAAAGAAGTAGCTCTTTCTGGACAGAGCACTGCAGATCAAACAAGGATACCTCAAGGCACATGTCTTGAAGCTGCTGGAGATGCCATCTTTTTGTTGGAAAAATGTGCAGGCAAAAAGGCAGCTTCCCTAGTTCATGCAGCAGCTGCTCCAGAGACTGAGGAGGTCACGACCATTTTGCACAGGAGCTGATGTTGGCTTTCCCCAGAGCTGTTTTCCCTGTGGACTGTGGGACCTTCTGTGGGGTTGCTGGGTGCCAGTGATGCTTGATCCTGAGGGCGTTAACTCTCCCTCACAGCTGGCCTGGCCTGGCCAGCATGGACAGACCTGACCCAAGGCACCTTTGCTGAAGGGTTGAGCCTTCTTTGAAAAAGTTCATTTATTTCCCCAGTTATCCCAGGCAATCACAGATGTAAGAGGGCACAGGAGCAACTAGCAAAAGGTCTTCATGCATGAATTTGTAGATTACCCACCAATTTTCAGCTGTTCTATGCCCAAAGTCCATCCCGTGTGTACCTGGGGGAAGGGGCAGAGGCAAGGGCAGCTCATCTCAGGTTTAGCCACCATGGTGTCCATACTGAATCACCACCTCAGCAAAGCATGAGCCAGGGCAGCTCCCACTCCGCTGCTGCCACTCCAGCACCCTCAGGGCAGGCAGGAGAGGAAGCCACATTCATGTTCAATTTGTTGGGAAAGGGAAGGTGTAGGGGAAATGGGGCTATGGAAAATATTTTGATAGTTTCTTAAAATTAATTCCCATTTTTATTCCTCCTTCATGACATTTTAGCACTAATAAAGGGTTGTATGTATTGCATCATATCATATGAACATGTACATCATAGTATGATAAGCCATGTATAATGATTTAATATCATTAAAAATCAAAGACGTATTTCTATATAGTCACATATTTCAAAGTGTTTCTGCTTAACACAAATGCAAGTGTGGTCAGGCTCTAAGTGAAAGTATTTATGCTGCAATAAACAGCTTGCCATTTCCTCTAGACCATGAAAGGACAATCATATGCACCCATTTGAGTAGCCTACAAAAAAACCCACCAGAGTTATTCAAGGATCTCAAAAAAAAAAAAAAGGGGGGGTCAAGCAGTTAATTTATTTTTGTGAGCAAAATATCAAATTATTTTATTAATGTGCTTTGATACATAAAACATTATAATTCTTTCTGGTCATATTAGCAGCTTTCATTGAAGATTTCAAAGATAAAACATGTAAGATGCCATATAAAAGAAAATGACAGCATGGTTGGTTAATATGGCGTAATATGATACAGTATGTGGTACACATTAGTGGTGGACATACAAAATATTTAGTAGAGCCTGGTTGCATTTGTCATCACCATGCTTTGCCCCTGCTGCCATGCCATGAAATAATCTACAAATAAAAACAGTGTATTCCTTGTAACCATATATTAATTGAATAAAATTAAATACATTGAAATGACACTAATAAGTATGTTGTTAAGTAGCTTTGCCTCAGAGAAGAATATTTTGACAAACATGGGTCCATCTGGTTCTCCTGCATCTGTGCCAGGATAGCAGGAGAATGGATCAAAATCCTGTCGAGGTACAGGGAACATCACAAGTCTCTCAAGGCAAAACTCAACCTTGCTGCTACTCATCTTCCACAGAGCTCTGTGAGTATCCAGGAGGCTCTGAGACACCCAAAGGGCAGGTCTCTTACCCAGAGTGGGACCCAGCCTTGAACCAGATCCCATCAGCTCCTGGGGGAATCTGGAGCCAGATCCAACCAACCCAGCCTGGAAGAGTTTGGAGCCAGTTATGTATCATAGGCCCACAGTACAAACTTCTCCCTAATGACTAAGTAGGTGTAAGGACTAAACGCTTAAGCAGGACCCATGGTTGGTCCACACAGCCCTTGGACTATTTGCACTGCAACACAATCACTGTAAAAAGTGCTGGGAGGCAAAAAGAAGAGGAGTCGGCCTCAATATTCTTTTCCCCCACGCCAGAAGAAACCCCTTCAGTCTGTCCATCCATTTGCGTGGTGTTACTGTAGACTTCGGTGGCGTTTGACACCTCTTCAGGAAGGCCCATCTGGAGCAAGAGTTTGGAGATAAGGCTGTTGAACTTGCTCTCTGTGGTAGACCAAGGCTCTTCACTTGGGGTCGGACTCTCAGACGTGATGTTTAGCTCCACTGGGTCGAGACAGTAACCTTCTGGAGACCTCTCGTAGAGCACGTCCGTCAGGTCAATCCCAGCTACTGAGGAGGGGGAGGCACAAGGAATATCCCTGACAAGCCTGTAATTCTCCATCCACTCCTTGAGCCACTCGATGCGGCAGTCGCACTCCCAGGGGTTGCGAAACAGGTACAGCCGCCCGAGGAAATACACCGGTTCGAAGACAGAGAAGGGCAGGGTCGTCAGGTTGTTGCTGTTCAAGTGCAATGAGACCAGGCTGGTGAGGTTCTCAAAAGCCCCTTCCTCGATGTAGCTGATCCTGTTGCGGTCCAGGTAGAGGATCTCCAGCTCCCCCAGGTCCCTGAACCAGGTGTTGGAAATGTTCCTGAGAAAATTCCCCCCCAGGTTGAGCATCTTCAGGCGCCTCAGGCCATCAAAGGAGTTTTCTGGAAGCTCACTGATCAAATTGTCATTCAGGTACAGGTACTCCATCTTCTGACAGGCCTGAAAGGCTCGCTCGTGAATGACATTTATCTTGTTGTCCTGCAGATTCAGGTACTTCAGCTTGCTCAGGCCCTGCAGGGAGTTGTAGGCCACCGCTTCAATCCTGTTTCTCTCCAGGTAAACGTGGGTCAGGTTTTCCATGCCCCTGATGGCACCTGGGATCCTTCGGAAGTTGTTCTGGAAGCAGAAGAGCTCCTGCAGAGCAGGCAGCTCAATGAAGATCCTGTCTGGGATGTTGAAAAGGTTGCAGTCCGCCAGGTCCAGCCTCACCAGCCGTCTGAGGGCGGTGAAAGTCCTCGTGTGGAGATAGCGGATGTACTCGTTGTGGGCCATCTTCAGCTCGGTCAGGCTGGGCAGCCCCTTGAAAGCCCCCGGGGTGATGAAGGAGATGTTGTTGTGGTTGAGCGACAGGGATTTGAGGGAAGGCAAGGTCCCGAAGGCCCTCTCAGAGAGGAACTTGATGCTGTTTTTGTCCAGGTTGATAGAAGAGGCTTCACAAGGGAACTCGCTGGGGATCTGCCCCAGGCCGGCACGGTCGCAGAGGACAGAGCAGCTCCGCTCCTGGGTGCACACACAGTTGGGAGGGCAGGACCGGACACAAGCCCAAACCCCATGGACATGAGGGATCCAAAGGATCACTGCCGGGCAGGAACGCACCATTGCCCACGGAGGCGTGGCAGGAGAGAGTAGGGATGCACTATTAGCAAATGTATTAGTCACCACAAGAAAAACAAATTTTGCTGTCGTTGCCTCCTTTCTAGCCAGGCTAATTGCCACCTGTACTCCAGTGCTGAGCAACAAGCTCTTGTGAAGGATTCCTAACAGTCTTCTGTGGGGGTTTTTAAACCCACTGAGAATATATGTCATCTAGAACATCATCTCTGAGTAACTGCTCTCTCCCCAAGGGAGGGCCCACCTAGACTTTAGTATTTCTTAGTGTCTCCGTGACTGGTATCTCTGCAGGCTGGTGGGGACATGGTTTGGCCAGGCAGAAGGTAGAGATTTTTTGGCCAGGGAGCAAGCAGAGATGTTTTGAAGGTCAGCATCTATGGATTATAGCAGTATTTCTGTGTGGGGAAGAGGGGAGGGTAGTGTATGCTGAGTCAGGCAGTGAGCAGGAGAGATCAGCTGATTTCCTGGGATATGTAAAATTCATGATTTTTGCTGCTTTCCTTTGTTCATTCAATGTAACATTTCTCCACCAGAGCCAGTGCAGCACTGGAAGGGGAACTATCAGCTCTGAAGGATGTAGTACAGTGTTTAAAAACACATTCCCAGTGTGTACTGGTAGAACAGCATGACTAAAAACAAATTAAGAGATATTGTTCAACCGCTTGCTTCGTGATCTCATCATAGATGAGATACTCTGCACCTCCAGCACAGTTTTTACTGTTTTGCCAATTCTCAAGAGAGTCATCATAGTGCCTTATGTTTGATGGAAGCAGCCACTTTGTCCTTTATAAGCCTGACATGAGAGGTGTGTGGCTGTTGTTTCTTTTCAGGTTAGTCCCATGCAGGTGGGTGTACAACAAGGAAGAGAAGAAAGCTCTTGGGGAGAAATCAGAGAAGAACAAAAGGAATGGGAGACATGAACCTCCATAAACGGGCACTTTTTGTGGGGAAAAAACATCCAGTCAACAAAACATCTGCAAAATTAATTATTTTTTTTTATGCAAAATGTTTTTTACCTTCGAAAGAGGGGAAATTCAGGTTAGATATATGGAAGAAATTCTTTACTCAGGATGGTGAGGCACTGGCACAGGGTGCCCAGAGAAGTTGTGGATGCCCCATCCCTAAAAATGTTCAAGGTCAGGTTGGATGAGGCATTGAGCAACCTGGTCTAGTGGAAGGTGTCTCTGCCCATGGCAGAGGGGTTGGAACTGGATGATTTTTAAGGTCCCTTCCAATACAAGCCGTTCTCTGATTCTATGAAAATAAACTCATTAGAGAAGAAGAACTGAAGGCAGAGCCCATTTTGTAATTGCTCTCCCAGGCATATCCTACCTGCTACTCAACAAAATGAGCAGCCACACCAGAGAACTCCATGTAGTCCCTAGCAGGAAATGGTGCTATTGCTCCTGACTGGTTTTTCTGCTTCAGTTTATTGGTTCCCACATAAGCATAATTCTTTTTTTCTTTTTTTTTTTCTAAAAAAAACCCATAAGATACCAACAGCCACCGTTATTACAGCCCTGCTGGGATTATGGTGCTGCTGCTGTTGTGGTCATGTCTGTCCCCCAGGGCCAAGGGACAGGCTTTCCCCCCCACTCCTGTTGAGTGTCTGGACAGGGAAGCTCCCAGCAGTTTGCAGCACAGCGATTGCCCACTGCAGTTGTATTCCCAATGGGCATTTTTATTAAGACAGACTTGTGAGGTGATATGCCAGGAAGCATCAGCTTCAGCAAGCATCAAGCTTTTATTTTCGCAGTCCCTGAGGCTTTAATGTACAGAACAAATGACAATTCAAGCTGCAATTTCTCTGCCTTTCCTCCACTCTTTTCGAAGGCAACATGCATGGGACTGTGTTTAGGAGTTACACTGCCTGTGGCTTCTGCAAGCAGGAGACTTGCAAAAACATTTGCTGGGCAGGTCTCCACTGAAGGGCATCAATCCAGGAACTGCCCAGACGGTTCTGTTCAAACCATCCTGGTCACTGCATGTGGAAGAGGGATTTAGATACACGGAGGACTTTAGCTGTGGCCTCTTCATCAAAATTCGGGTCCCATCATGCCTGGCTATGCTATCGTGACTGGAGAATTAGCAAAACAGCATCACTTCAAGGATAAATGATAGTGAAGGACTCTGAGAGGTGGAAAGGATTTCAGACAGGTTGTCATTTTGTTTGTTTGTCTGCTCTCCTCCTTTTTCCCCAGCCCTTATCTAACAGCCACAGCTAAAGGAAAGTCTCCTTCAGACAGGGCCCTGGGAGGATAGCAGCTGAGGAGCCCAAGGACAAGAGGGGGGAGAACACACTGGGCTCAGATTGCTCTTTCTTTGTTCAGCCTGCCCAGGGGCTGCCTCGCTCCCTACCCTTTGCACCAGCCCACCCCAGTGCCTGCCAACAGGGGCATATGTTGTTTTTGTCAGGCAGTTACATAAACTGAGGGCCAGACAGATTAAGGATTTGCCTGTTCCCAAATGCCTGACTGCAGGTGGCTGTCTGGAAAACGATGGATGTAAGTATTGCTGCTGTTCTGAGAGCCTTGTATGGGCTCAGGGTGACATCCAGAGGGGCATATGTGCATAGGCTGTCCTATAGGTGAGACTGTCCTGAGCAAGTTCAATGCTTAAAACCACCTGCCCCAAGCTCAGTCACATCTCTGGCCTTCAGAGCAGACCTGTACCCACTGGTTTGTGCACTGTGTGTAGGGTAGGAACAAGTCTGCTGATAACCAAATCCCCTCCTTCCCCTCCCTGCTTCTTCTCTAATCACTCAGTTAAGGAAATATTTGTACCCAAGCCATATCCAGCCTGTTTTCCTTACACACAAGTGCCAAATCTGGGTCTTCCGCAAGTGGCATTTCACAGCAGACTTCCAAGATCCCTGTTTATAAGTGTAACTCTTTGCATTGTGCAGGACATGAAAACAAGCACTTGAGGACCATCCCATGAGAAAATATCCCCCCACCAATAGGAGCTCAGAGATGTCCCTCAGCACCTCAGTCTTTGTGGCAATTTCTCCCTCTTTCTCTTGCAAAGGAAGCTGGAAAACACTCTCCACCTGAACCCCACTAAACCCTCAGGAGAGCTGTTGCTCAGAGCACAGGAAATTAGCTCTCCCCTGATTTCTGACCAACATAGCCTTAAACATTCCCACCTTTCCCACCTTTCCCACCTTACTCCTTCCCCAAAAAGGATGTTCTTTTCTTTTAATGTTCACAGACAGGGCAGTGGCTAGAAGATGCCTCCAACTCATTGACACAAAGGGTGCTCAAATGAAATGCGTGTTTTCGAAAAACAGTGAAATATAGCAGTAAGGTCAAAAATATTTGCGACATTAAGGAAAAAACAAAATTCCTCAGGGATGATCTCTTTTGCTTTTTTAAATACTACAGTAAGTCAGTATTCGGAAGAAACAGTGAGAGACTAAAAAAAAAAATTAAAAAAATGTTGCAGAGTTTTAAGAAAGGTAAAGAGACAATGATTGCAATGATTGAGTATTTAATCACCACCTTTCCAAATGATCTATCTAATCCACTACTGGGTAAAGCAGAATAAGTGTATACTCACCATTTAAAACGATGGCAAACATTACCTTGATTATTCCCTAGTGGCATTTCAGGTCTTGCAAGCAAACTTGAGGGATCTAAAAGCACATGGGAAGAACAGAGACAGGTTTCATCCTCTGTCATTTCCTTGTATCATTTGTCCACAAAATGATCTATGTTTAGAAAGGAAGATGAAGAAAAAAACTCTTCTCTCATACACTTCCAAAATGAAGAAGTCCCCAGCACCTTCCTGGTGAGTATCTTTCTTCCACCACTGACCTTCTCAGGGAATCCTGCAGCTTTCTGCCACTGCTTTTCAGGAGCTCATCCGCATCCTTCCCACCAGGTGTGCCAAGGTCAGGTTCCTATTATCTGCTGTGGGGAAAGGTCACCAACAGTAACAGGCTGGCTGCCTCCCCAGGAAATAGGTGGTGGTACAGAGGAGCGTAACCAGCTTAGGATCAAATAGTTGAAACTAAAATTCCCGACAGAAATCATCCAGATGTGTTGCTTACCTGGCCAGGCAGTGTCTGTGTCCTCCCTCCTGCTCATGAGGCTGCCATTAGCCACGCGAGTCAGCCCCTGAAAAGTTGGCATTTTTTTCTCACAAGCTATCATTTAATGGCAGGAAAATCCTCTGTATCAGAGGAGGATTAGCAGAGATGGAAGAATGTGTCTGTCCTCTAAAGCTCCCAGAGCAAAACAGGGATTGCACACAAACCAAACTGATGCTTTCTCCCCTTTGCCAACCTACTCTCCCCCCACCATAAAAAAAAAAAAAATACAGTCCAGAATTGGACTGCTGCCACTCAGACAGCATTGCTGAAAGTCATTACTCCACTCTCCATTATGTAAGGGTAGAAGAGGTGGGAGGGTGCAGCCTAAATGGAATTAAATTTGGGGGCAAGCACAGGCTTATGGCTTCCCTTCGTTGAGCTCTCCAAGCAGACGGAGCTTGGGACTCTCCCCATGCACATTTTCCCAGCCCCAGTATGGCTCCCACACTGCTAAAAGGATGCCAGTGTGCTTTGCTGTGCTGGGAATTGCTCCTGAAGGACAAGGACAACCACACTGGGAGAAGGGTCAGCAAACCCTTGCTGGAGCTTGCATGGTGTATATAGCCCTTATAATAACAAACTCTGCCCTGTCTATGAGTGTGTTTTGCTTGTGATGCTGCAGCTGGTGCGTGGAAATCATAAGGACAGCTTCTGTACGTGGTGATGTTTTAGCATTCAGGATGTGAATTGGTTTATAAAGCCTTTTCTGACAGAATGATGATGGTTTCTTTGGAGAGTGGGGGCTGAATAAGTGAGTTATCTCAGCCTCCCATGCCTTAGGTAATTGCATTCACCATGTCAGAGGGAAAAATAGCTCTACTCTTTATTTCTAAGTGAATTATTCTGCTTTTTTTTTTCCCCAGGAAATGGAATACCTGATGAATTTATGCTTGATACAACAGGAAAGATTCAGCTGGGAACCAGCCTGCTGCTGCTCAGCTCTTCCTGCAAATTAAAGCACCCAGATACACCAGGTTTATTTTGGTTTGGCTTTCCCTTAGTCTCAAGGAATCTGGCTGGCACCTCCGGAAATTTGTGTCTGTCTCAACAGCATGAGCAGGCTGGCTGTGGGGGCAGCCTGGAGGGGAGGGGATGACCCAAATAGCACTGCTCTTAGCTGAAGGATACCTTTTCCCACCACCCTGCTGTAACAACCCCCACAGCTTTGCACCTCAGTGCTTTGCACTCTGCTGTTTCGCAGAGGAGGAAAGAGATTTGCAAAAGCCACAGACAGGCACGTTGCAGCCTCTGCCACGGAGCTGAAGCTGCTGGAGACTTTGTGGGGACAGAAGTGGCATTGTCTGGGTGCTCACTACTGACAGGGCAGCTGATGGTTCCCCTGAAAGTCCCGATTCCCACAGGAATACCAGGAAGCCTCAACCCACCTGATCACAGAAAACAGATCACTGGCCTTTCAGCCATGGAAAAAACAAGGGGGGAGGAGGACAAAGTGCTGTTCTCTGCTTTTCCTTCCCCAGCAATTACGAGAGCCCTAACTGTGGTACCGGAAATCGTGTCTCCTCCCAGGTGCACACATGCTGTCTGCAAGGTGGGAGGCAGTGTGCAGGGAAGGTATGTGGGACTTGGGCACAATTTGTTGTGTGATCAGTTGGCAGCTCCCCAGGGGTTAGACCTGCAGCTTGGTTTGCACGGCAACAGTAAATCAGAAACCAGGAGGGGCTGATCTGCACCAAGGCACCACATTTCTGCTGAGATTTTGGGGCTCCCCTGTGCTGAGCACCTCAGCAGTCGCTTCTGGGGTCGTGGGTGCCTAGTGTACAGTAGGTGCCCACTGTAGAATCAGCAGCTCTGGTGCTGTTAGCAGTGCTGCTGAAACCAGCTGCTGCAGGAAGGCTGGCAGGGAACATCCCGCAGCAGCAGCCTCACCATAGACCAGCACATTTGTTAACTCCTGCAGGAGCTTCTGACAGCAGCTCTGCCATCAGCATCCATCCCACATACACAGCTCAGTGACTGCAGCTGGCCTGGCGATCCAGCCCAGTCCCACTCCAGACTTTTCTACTGTGGCTGGAGGTAAAACAGCAGAAACAGCCCGTGTCCTGCCCCATCGTGAGCCCCACCCACCCACAGCCTCACCAGCAAAACTGTGTTGCACACCTGGAACTCCTGCCTGACCAGCAGCAGCAGCCCCAAGGCTCACAGCAGTGTATTTCTGTGTGTCATCCATGGGCAGGAGCCTCACTCAGCTCCAGACCTCAGCACAGAGATGGTATGAACATCTCAGCACATGCCCTGGGGGGAGGCTGGGGAGCTGGGAATGGGAGGCACACTGAGGCCACAGTTTCTAGGAAAGTCTCCCACAGTCAGGGAGCATCACCCTGAGAGCAGCTTCAGCAGGTGCACTGCAGGTGCACCAAGCCAGACACCCAGTGGCTCCCATGAACTTCTGGCAACTTCTGATTCATTTCCTCATAACCTTTGGTCCTGAAAGGGCATGACAATGCAAGAAAGAGGCCAGAAAAGGAGAAGTTTCATGTTGTCTTAGGTAGAAAACCTTAAACACCAGAGGGTACATAAAGGAGACCAGCATTTATCCTTAAAAGAACCAAACTTGGGCTTTAAACCACACCTCAGCATTTTTCAGAGCATGACTCATGGCTGGTTAATGCTGAGGGTTGAGCACACTAGAGATGCTCAGTGCTGGGAAGCTGCTGTGGCTGCCAGGCTGGAAGCAGACTCAGAAGCTGCAGCCCTTGCTACTGCAGCTCTGTGCTGTTAATTTTTTTTGCCACTAAGGGCTCTTCCTCATGGTCTGCCCTTTTTAATCTCTAGGAACTCGGAGATGCCAGAGGTCAACAGAGCAGTGCATCTGAGACCAGAAAGCAGCAGAGCTCTGCTGCCACTAAAAAAAACACATTTATATCTGATCTTCCACCAAAAAAACTTGAAGAATTCAGTCCTGATTGGAGGAGCCTGCTCTGCTCCAGTAGTGTGTGCTGTGGGGACATAAACCTTGGCACAGCTTCACCAGCTGGCAGTGAAGAAAAGCCTGTCTTGCAGGACAAGCCTGTGCAGTCTTGACTCGAAATTGCTTCTAACAACCCATTTCTTCATGGCCAGGGGCATTCCATGCAACGGTGACTTAAGGATGTGTATGTAGCTCGTATCTCTGATACACATTGATATGATTTAAAATGATCACTGGGGGCTGTTTCTTGTAGCGGTTCCACTTCAGATTAAAACATTTGCTTCATTTTCAAAGGCTGGCTAAGAACAGCTGATGGGACTCATCTCCCCTAACTGAAGGTGAGAGGTCTCATCTTGCCTACTTTAGCCCACCTGTGGGCACCATCATGGCCCTCAGCAGGGCCCATTTTCACTGACAGGATGACAAAACAGCTGATGGTGTGCAGCTTTGGGGACACCTCCACACCATTACACACCAGTGCTGGGTTAGATAGAACCCAGGCATTGCATGTCCAGACCCTTCCAGCCAAGCACTGCCCTCTTCACAGCAGTGAAGAGGCAGAGTTGCTTGCCTAACTCCAGTGGCTGAACATCTTCAGTCCCCTGTTTTTAATCTCTGATAGCTGCTTGCATGTGTGGGACTAGTGCTGGGGGTTGAGGTCCCTGCGCCACAGAGCGCCCGAGCCCCTCCGCCTGCCCCAGGCTTTGGTTTCCTGAGCTTCTGTAACAGCACTCGCAGCTCGGTGCACACTTCCCCTCTTCTCACAGCCACGGCTGTGCTGCACAGCTGAGCCTTTCTTGTGCACGTAATCACTGGGGTGACCTTTGAAGAAGCTGCCTCAGCGTTTCTCGACGGGCCTCCTGTTGTCGGCTCTGCCCCGTGGGACCAGACTGCACTCAGGCTGGTCACACAACTGCTGCGCTCACAGCTCTGGATGGTGTAGGTTTGGGGCCAGAAGGTAGCCTCTGTGGTGGGATTACTGTGCTCTGAGCAGACCAGTGTGGCCGTGCTGGGGTTTGGAGCTGCAGCACAGACTGCGCCGCCACCAGAAATAGTGCTTGGTACACGCGCGATGTTGAAGATTACAGGAGATGCAGAAGCTGAGGAGCCAACCAGGACTTCAGGAGCAAAGATTAAAGAGCCTTTCCCTTGCTCGGAAGAGAGGACAGCTTCTCTTCTGCAGGCAGGGGTTTCATTTTTGTTCAGACTGAGGCCACCAAACTTGGCTCAGGCACAAAGGTCCAGAGCCCTGAGAGCACCTGTAGGTGTCATATAGGGGCTCTCCTGCAAGGCCTTCACCCATCCCTCCCAAAGGGGGTCCCATTTCATCCCAGGACCATCGGTCCTTGCCCAGTATGGGTGCTGCAGGTCACAGGATGTTGCTGGCCCTCTCCCTGTGTCACAGTCCCCTCATAGCCTGCCCAGCCCCCTCAGGCTGTGTCCTCGTAGGGCTGCCTTCTGCCAGTCCCATGCCAGCTGTAGAAGATCCACTCCACCTCAAGACACCCCTTGGACAGAAGGGTGTCGTGCCCCCCACAATGTCCTCCCCCATATCCTCAGCAAGGAGGGCCTCCATTTCACAGCAGCAGCTGCCCCGCTTTCCCTCCCACCCGAGTTGTGTCCCCCAGCGCTGCAGGCACACACACACTCATGGGCTGCCATCACAGAGCTGGTCTGAGTGGGAACAGTTTCCTGCCCATGGACTGAGAGCATGGGCAGTGCTGGGTACATCAGGATGTCCAAACCCAGCCCAGGGGCACAGCAGCCTGGCAGTGCCTCATGGCGCTCAGCTGGTTGCAGGCTGCCCACAGAAGTAACCCTGGAGGACTCTTCACCACCTGGTCCGTGGAAGGAGGAAGCAGGGATGAGACAAGTCAGCCAGTAGC